AGTGATCTGACCTTGTTTTCGCAACGTTGTCCTGTTGTCAGTGTGATTTAATTGGGATGTTGATAAGACCTATGCGAGGTCGAAACTGAGGTCTATTCTGGATGAGGACACCTTTCGGGAAAGCAAGGCTATATGAAATTCAATGGAGGCGTCAGCCTACTCATAGTATTGTGGGAAAATCAGATACCAGTCCTCCATCAAATTAAACGAAATGTGGTGAACATAACTCATATATTAATCTCCTTATCCATGTATGAGGACTACAACTTTCTTCAAAGATATTCTGATCACACTCACTGATGATGCCGACTACGATGTTGGGGAAACGTCGGAGAATTTATCAAGTCTGCGGTCTGCTGATGGGAATTAGGATAACTACTACGGCAGAGGATTTCGGACAAGGTGCGTTCTAGTAAGTCGCCTTGACAACAGAACCAAGTTGCGAAAACGAGGTCAACCCACTTTGACCATTCTCGTCCTACTCCACCTGAACAGACATTTGTTAGTTTTTACCTGCATCTAACTATTAATTTTGACACGCTTTGACTATATCATAGCCCGTAAGCTGTTAACTATGCGTTCCTAAAGCTGAGTTTAATATCATTTCATTTTTCCTAAGTTTTAATAAAATTATCTTTAAGAGGACTATCTTCGTAATAATTGTTATGAACAAATATTCCTTAAAAGAGGATAAACTACTTTAGGTCACTTAAAGAGATATAGTACAGTAAATAAGTGGTCCTTACATAAGCGTTGGACGATATCTTGCCAATCTACCGCACAACCGGTGAACTAATTGGTCACGCGGCAGATCTGACTTTCGAGGCAAGTCGAAACATGAATTTATCCTGAATGAGAAAGCCTTTTAGAATGCAAGGCCATGTCAACTACAATATCGTCATGTGATCTTTTAATAATTTTGTTTTATGAACTCTAAATATCCTTCCTACATCTTAACGGACCTAAGGTTACTTGAGTTCTTAATCAAGATAACCGATATTTTCGAAATCTACTCATCATACTATTTAAAATGCATTTTTCATTCTCTATTCTTCTGAACTGAGCTTCTTTCCATATATCCCCCTCTGCCCCCTTTTGCCCCCATTTATTTTTCCTCCTCTTCAGTCACTAATAGCCATCGGTTGCTCCTCGGGTGCTGTGCATGTGTTTCATCTCTGCTCCCCTCTAGCCACATCTGGTTGTTCATTACAGATTGGATCCTCCAAACCATCTATGGTGTCGCATAACCCATTTTCCGATCAATATGATGGCGCAGCCCTCATCTCTTCCAATTTATTACACTCATCCTCGTGCGCTCCCATTAAATTCAGCTCACCTGCTACAGCGCCAAGAGACATCTCTGGCTCCGATCCCGCTCTAAATGATCTATTTTTGCATACTGATAAGCATTGGCAATGCACATGTACTGCTGGCGTTGTTTGGCTTCGCCTTTTCCCTTCCTCCCTATCCCCATCGCCTTGCTCCTGCTGCTCTTTATCGCTTTCTTCTTCCTCTCTGTCTCGCCCTACCTCTTCACGCGAAGCAGTCACTTTGTGTCGCAACTTTGGCACTCCTCATATCATTCAGCCTCATGTCCCACCACATTCAAAATGGACTGAACTGGCTGGTATCAGACTGGAGGAGACTCGTTTGGTCACTTGCGGTCTGGATGGTGCCATTTCTATATGGCGACTAGGCTGCATGAAACAGCCGATTCGACTATTTCGTTCGGTAAGTACTCTAGAAAATCGCACTGGCAAATGATTTGTTTTGCTTAAGATTGGATTATGAAATTGTAATAAGAATTAGTTCTCACAGCTCAAATTGTTACTTATATTAATTTACCTCGATCGGACAATTCTATAGGTCGTACCGTATGCTTCTAACTTAAAATCATTTGGCTCAAATCTTTAGGTCAACTATCTTTGCGGCGCGAACCTTTAGCCTGGTAAAAATGATATTTATCGAAATAATAATGCTATATTATTGTTTGGATTTAAGTGAC